TCATGTAGATTGCTATGCTACCGGACTCCGGTAGAAGTCGAGTGATTGCCTGTCACTCGCAAGATACAGGAAATATATTATTAGATTATCATCGCTTCAAAAATATAAATGGTGGAAAGGAAAAATGGTAACCGGGTAGGGATATGGTTTGGGTATTGGAGGGTGTAAGAGGTTGTGTCGTCGTGGATGCGGGGCATGGCTTGGTTACACTACTTTCCCTGTCTGTGTCGATTAAGGACCGGTCGTTGCATAAACCATCGAGATAAGTCACAGATCTATTGTCCCGAGCACATACTTGGGTATGGGTGCTTGGAAGACTTGTTGCTCTCTTGTCATGGGTTCCGGCTCTTTCCGAATCGACTGTTAGGGTTTTTTGGTGGAGGAGGTCCTTGCACCGCACTGAGTCCGGGACTCAGGGGCATGGGCTTGGAGTCCTAGTTTGGACGGGGACCTAGGACCCTAGGATAGGAGGGTGATGGGTTGGTCCTGCATGTGCCTTGGGTACAAGCGGAGCATATATTTTCGGGGCACCCAGCTAGGCATATTGGTTCATGAATCGCCCCCGAGTCGGTATTGCTTGTCTTATGCCTAGCACCGTAGTAAGAACCGAAAGATGAAAGATGAAATGGAAAAAGAAAATCTGATTGCTTACCACCTGCTTGAAAGTAGCACATGTGCTTATATAAAATGGTTAGTTAATGAATCAATGCGGCTACTAATAAAAATCAAATATAAGGACGCATATTTAGTAATGCTTCCTGCAAATGCAAATAAACCCACATACCACATAGCCTTGCATATCCTTAGAGTCTTTTTCTTTCCTCCTATCGGGTAAGTCTTGCTGAGTATAATTGAGTACTTAGGGTTTTATTCCCCCTGTTGCAGGTGACAGGTGGAGGCTAAAGGTGACCTTTGTGTGTGGATTCCTCCTGATAGGCTCAGCGAGGATTTCCTTTACGCTGCGATCATAGTCTTATTTAAAACTCTCACTACACATTTTTATAAATGAAAGTTTTATAATCTATTGTCATAGTTTACATATCAATACTTCATCATGTCATAGTTAGATATTTATTTCCGCTGTAATTCTGATAACATGTTTATATTCCGCTGTTAAATTAAATTGTTCATAACTCTGATAATATGATTACATTTCATTATTATAATAATAAACATTATACTCGGATGTTGTATTAAAAGTGATGTAAGAAATAGTTAAGAATGATGTATGCTTTATTCTCTCATTTGTGATTCTGATAGCGAAAATGTGGATTTTCGGGTTCTCTCCTGTGGTGTGCCCGACACGACCGTATGATTTGGTGTCCTCATTCGAGTCCTTAGTGTCTAATGGAAGACGAGCGCTCCTGGAAGGCATTAGATTAGACGGTTCTGCCACATTATAGCAGCAGTCTGTGTAGGTGTAGCTATTGGTTGTCTTATGAGCAAACTTTGGAAGTAGTGAATTGTATGCAATGTAGCTTCTATTGGTCTTCAGCCTGTTCGGCAGGCCGTAAATGATCGTGGGTTATTTACTGTTGGATGGTTTGGTATAAGAGAAAAATACTATTCTAACTTATAATCCACGATCGTATACGAGCAAGCGAACAGGCTGCTTAGCTATTGTAAGCTTTCATTATCTGTTGAATGTACCAGTGCCTGAAGTTGATGAATGGAATCTGAAAGTTTTTCAAATAATTTGTAGTGCTCTGGTTGTAAGATTAACCCCCTCAACATAATTTTGGATCAATTGGTCAAGCCATCATGGTTTTAATCCAATTTCATTACCGCACAAAGCATCATGGCCAAGCCATCCTGGTGAGAAGTGAGATCTCAAACCTGAGGAGTCACACCTAACATTCATCCAGGATACATGCTAAACAGATAAAATGCCTAAACTCAGCTACCTGGCAAAATTACCAACTGGACAAACACACATGGTACAACCCCATGTAATAGAACTTATAATTTCTGTAAACAATACAATAGATATTGGGACAATCGATGTATTGTCTGACATTAACAAGTTCAAATGGAATACGAGATTTATGTGTATACAAATAAAGCAACAGATACTACTGAAAGAGAACCAAGTGACAGTATGAATTCACAGGCATACTGATAATATTAATGACAGTAGCGTTTTAGCTTGTTCAAGTACTCAAGCATTACAGACATCACAAAAGGCTATCACATGCATTATAGCTAACAGTACATCCAGTTCATCGATTCAGCTTGTTCTAGTTTTCAAGCGTTACAGGCAACCTGAAATTCACAGGCCATCACAGGCATTACATTACCAGAGACTACAAAATAAGTTCAAAGGCCTCCTTTGCTCTCTTTGTTGGGTTATTCTTAACCTAATCTCCAATCCTATCTGTACACCAGTCCTGACTGGCCATTTTCCCTTCTCTTAGCTTGGTGGTAGGACAATTGTGGTCAGCATGAAGCCTTTTGATCTACAATAGGCAATGTTTTTCTAAATGGTAAATGGTCTTTACACGGTCGCCCTTCGTTTAATGTTTAGGCTGTTTATACGATGTTTAAACAAAGTTAAATGATCTAAATGGTTTTGTACTATTTAAAAAAATACATATAATTATATATGTGCATGTAAAAAATCAAGTATTCTAGCATTTATACATATTTATTCGAGTAAAAATCAATTATTTTGGTATGTATATATATTTATACATGTGAAAAGAACCAAATATAGAAATTTATGCATGTAACACATATCAAGTGTACACATTTATAAATATAATAAACTTAAGTATACAAATTTATCCATACAAAACTGAACTAGATTTACTCGTGTTCACCTAAACAGCCGTTAGCTCCGTTCCGTTTAGGCCGTTTAGACCATTTTTCTCGTTTTTTTATCGTTTAAACGGTCAATCGTTTAATTTTCGTTTACCCCATAAATAAAACAGTTTACCATCGTTTACTGTTTACTGGCCGTTTAATCGACCGTTTAGGCCGTTTTGGTGAACAAGGGTAAAAGAAAATGTTAACAGAAAATAATATATCAAAAATCAAAAAACAAATGTTAACAGAGACAATGATACATCACAAATCAAAAAAGAAATGTACCTGTATAGTTTTCTTATAAAAAATGGTGGAAGCATATATGCGCCAAGGGCATCCCTCAACAGCACACTTTGCTATGAACCTTTACTTGTCACTTTTGTAACCAATAGCAAGCTCAAACCCAATCTTCACAGCATAATGTCTTAATATTTTTCTGAATGCAATGATATCAGGAAACAGCTCTCCCTTCATAATCTTCGGGTTCTCAGGGTCATGCAATACATTTATCTCTAGAGGATCAGCATCATCCACCTTTGCCTCAACATGGACAAAGTCATCAGATGGATCAGTAGTAGCATGAGTGTTAGCATTGTCAAATGGTTGTGGCTGTGCAAACTCAGTAGGTGGCGCTTCATCATACATGGCCTCATCATCAACTCCCACGTATTCTTCATCGTTATCAAAGATATTTGGCTCTTTAGCTGCCTCTCTATCTAGCTCTAACTCATCATCCACCTCTGGATTCTCAGGAGAAGCACATGGCAAGGTTGTTGGCTCAGTACCACCACTACTGAGTTTGTTTAGGCATATTAGCATCATGAGTGTCTAATTTTGCTGCATCATCAGGAGGAACCACACAGAGAGGCTCCAGTGCATCAAACTCAGGTTTCACATAAATTGCACTATCAAATACACCTACTATAACCTGGCAGGTCATCTCCTCCTTATGCATTTCAAACAAATCAACCATCTGTATCTCATCAACTAGTCTGACATCCTCATTCAATCTTTTATCAAAGAACCAAACAGTGGGTGTCTGGTTAGTGCACAGATTTATTTCTATTGCCAGATGTTTCAACAGCAAGTTTAGTGCCAGTGACCCATATTCCACATCCCACTTAAACACTCGGCCTTTTGTGTATGATTTCCTACCAGTCGAGTCTTTGGAAGCAAAAGCTTCGACTTTAACCTCTAGCGCAAACATCCCACCCCTAAGAAGCAGTAAATTCATCCCCAAATCAAAGTGTATACATGCACAAATCATCAGAATAGCAATTAATCGTCAATTGTGTTGACCACATGGAGACGAAGGATGCAGAAAGGGTACCTGCTGCCGCTGTCCTCCATCACCGCCGGAGTAGTGGACACGCACGGAGGCGCTAAGCTTAAGCTCCCCGCCATCAGGGTGCCTCCATCACCTCCAGTGGAGGCGAGGTTAGGGTTTGTCTCCGTCGCCACCACCTCCAATCACCGCCGCCAACCATGCCTCGATTCGCCGCCACCGCTCACGCCTGGTTTGCCGTGGAAAGAGATGGGGTTAGGGTTTGATCGGAGGGATAAAGGGAGAAGAATGGACAGTGGTGCGGGCGTATGGCAGAGAAGGGGGAAGAATGCGAGAGAAGAACGGGGGCGCACAGAAGAACGGCGGCGTGCTGCTTAGCCTTATCCTCTCGTACAGGGGCAATACGGTCCAATACCGAAATACGGCGCCAGTAGGTGGGCCTAGCTACGCTCCAGACGTAGCAAAGAGCAAGGAAGAGAGGGAAGCATAATAGCAATAGCAAATTTCTAATAAAACAAATAGTAACGACGTTCTTCGAAACTTGAAATTATAATGGCAAGGATCAAATAACCCATAAAAAAAACCGAAATTAAACTATCTTGCGGGTGGACCGGTGAATGATTGGATCAGAGAAAAGAAAACGCGACCGAGCTAGCCTGGTCTGCCAATTCCGTCATTCCACCAGCAGCTATTCGTTTGCTTTCAGAACGATCGTGAAATTTCAGCTTTAGAAGCAGTGTTTTTCTCACATCCAAATCAGCCCAGCGATAAATAATCTACCCCACGCGCTCCGTCCGACGGCTGTTCGTAACGTGACGATCCTGTCCGGCCGCCCCAACAACCCGCGAACGGAGAGGACGACGCCTCGTGCCCCCGGTCGATCGATGGTTCACCGCCGGCTCCGGGGCCCATGGACTCCTGCCGCTCCTCGAATTCTCTAGTACGCTCGCAGCACCGAAGACCGGACCCCTATCGCCACCTCCGATCCGGTCTCACCATTTCTCATTTCGGCCTGATCCGGTGTTGATTTACAGGCGTCGAGGAGCTCCCTGACGCTGGGGGAGTTAGCCTGCGCGGCGCTGTTCCCGGTGCTCGCCGTGGTCGACGCGGTCCTGCTCGCGGCCTCGCGGTGCTTCCAGAAGAGCCCGCCCAGGCTGCTGCCTGCGCTCGACATATGCGCGCGCCTCCGGGCCGGCAGACGTCTCACCTTCCGTGAGCTAGCCGAGCTCGCCGACGAGTCCCGCTGCTGTAAGTATGCGGCTGCCTGTTCGGCTTTTGTGTTCTCTTCCGTCTGCTGTTGTGGCCTGAGATGTTTTTCCGCCTGTGGCTGCTGGGAGTTTCGGTGAACGAGGTGGAGGCGCTGTACGAGCTGTACAAGAAGATCAGCTGCTCCATCATCGACGACGGGCTGATCCATAAGGTTTTTTAAAATGTTTATCGCTATACGCTTTTTTTGTGGTCCGGTTGGCCAGACATGCGCTTGTGTTTAAACTTTTCGACCCGGTTAGGCGGTTGAGCCTTTTATATTCCTGTGACAATTCACAATTAAACTCTTTGCTGTGAAGTTCCTCAAAATTCAGTGAGGTTCGTGCATTCCAAACAGATATTGATCCAGTTTAGCCAATCCATGTGGAATTGGGACCCTCACTTTGATTGTAAAGGTTCTCCTTGTTTTTCAGGAGGAGCTGCAGTTGGCATTATTCAAGACACCATTTGGGAAAAATATTTTTCTAGATAGAGTAAGTGCCAAAGCTTGCTCTCCCGGTTGTCAAACAGAAATGGAAAAAGAAAGAAAAAGGAAATGACTAAGATGAAAATGTCTGCACACTCCTCTTGGTTAAAAAATTCTTTAACCTTTTTGGCTGCTCAAGTATCACATGACTTGTTCTTTTTCTGGATCTATCTCAAATGCTGTACTATAGAATCTTCCAAAGGAGCTGGGATTTTGCTGCTTGATAAGATGCCATTCATGACTTACTTCCCAGTTTCATCTTTTTCTTTAAGAAAAACTAAGCTTCATGCAGTATGGGTGGAACCACATTGCATAACTTGTGAAGTTATACTGATGTTGAGACATCACAACTAACCACATCATTACCTGTTGGGTTCTCCCATGCTATAATGTCAAAATCCCAAAAAATAGAAAAAATACTGTATGATTTGATACTTCGTGTTCGTTTGAACTTATCAGCCGGCTTATTAGCTATAATCTACAGTATTTTTCTCTCACAACAAAACAGCTTCAGTAGTTTTAGATTCTGAAATTTGCTTGCATTCCAAGTAGGTCCACTAATTTGAGTCTTTCCTTTCTCCTGTTCCTGTAGGTTTTTGATCTTTTTGATGAAAAGAAAAATTCTGTTATTGAATTTGATGAGTTTATCCATGCAATAAGTGTCTTTCATCCAAATGCTCCTCTTGAAGACAAAATTGATTGTAAGTATGATCAACGTGATTGATAATTCTTGACATGCTAAGTTATGTCTGCCACTAAGTTGTGTTTCGCACTTCAGTTTCATTCAGATTGTATGACTTGAGGCAAACTGGTTTCATCGAGCGTGAAGAGGTGTGTATAGATTTGTTAGTGCATAATCTGAACAAATTCTCTTCAGCGATTTGTATAGCTGTGTCAACATTTTGTATTCAACTATTCGAGACTTCTGCATGTGCATTGCCACTGTCAGTCTCTCTGTTCCTTAATGTTTGGAGAGAACCAATGTGACATCCTTTGCGGATGAGCACTGGTTATTTGCAGTGCGCACCTCATCTTAAAATGTTTTTCTTGTTGAAACCCTTACAAGCATCAGAACAAGCTTAATCATGATGTTCCTATTTTGTTGTCCTTTTTAGTAATGATCGCAAGGTTTTGATCTTTTCAGCGAAATATCAGCTTGGTAAGTCGCAACTCGTGTAGTTACTTCATAAAAAAAATTGTAAAAATAAGTAGGCTTGGGATTACTAATTCAAGGAGCAATATGGACATGCTCTTGATTTACAATAGATTACAGTCTTGAATAGAAATAGTGTTGACAACAATGAAATATAGTTAAGGCTTGTGTTTAGTTGCAAAATTTTGGAGCTTTTCAGGAGACATTACAAATTTATGACATGACATGGCGCAATTCTGAAGTATAAAACCAATATATGTTATTTTTCTCAGGTAAAACAAATGGTTTTTTTACTTTATTTGGAGTCACAGTTGAGATTGTCTGACAATCTCGTGCAAAAACGATAATAGACAAGGTACCATCATCACTGTGTTCCCCCTCAACCCCTCTTCTCTTTCTGCATTGACATGACATGGGCATCTCTGATCAATATGCGCGTTATTATCCTTCAAATGCAGACATTTGATGGGACACAGTTGAGCTGTCTGATAAGTGACAACGAGGATTAGCAGAGAGGAGTGGAGAGATTTTGTATTGCAGCACCCTTCTGTTATAAAGAAGATGACACTGCCACACTTGAAGTATGGATACTAGGGCCTTGTTCTCTTTGCAAAGCGAACAATCGGATAATGAACAAGGTACCATCATCACTTATTTCCCCCTCAAATATTGTCAATTTCTGCACCAACTAGGCTCAAAAGATTCATATGCGCGCTTATCCTTCTGCAGACATTTGAGGACGCTGATTTTTAAGGACATTTAGGATTATGAGAGGAGTGGAAATTTTGATTGATGAAGAGAGAGTTAAAAAAAGATGAATTTGGATGACATCTAAAGTATGGATACTAGTTGTAATTCGTGCATTTCATCAGCTTGTCTTCTTTATTGGCCTATCACCTATGAGATGCTAGTTCATCATTTGCCTTGTGAATGTCTGCAATTAATTTGCTATCTGCTTCTGAATGTCTGCCAGTAATAGTACGAACGTGTGCTTATTCAACTTCCATCGTGTTTAGTTCCTCTTCAAATTTCTAAAAAGTGCTACAGTATTTATCACATCGAATCTTGCGATACGTGCATGGATCATTAAATGTAGACGAAAAAAAACTAATTGCACAGTTTGATGGGAAATTACGAGACGAACGTTTTGAGCCTAATTAGTCCATGATTGAACATTAATTATCAAATAAAAACGAAAGTGTCACAGTAACCCAAATTTCAAACTTCACTCAACTAAACACTTCTTTTCCTTCCCAGGGACACGACTGCGGCATTCCCCAGCTTCGTTTTCAATACACAAGTTGAAGACTAGGGCGATGAACAGTTGATTGTGCAGTAGTTTTGTGGCTCCTAAAGTGGCAACAGAAGATGGAGATGAACAGTCGACAAAGAAAGAAACGGGAGCTCTGAAAACTTGTGCTACTCTTGGTCTCTTGGATAGCACCAGCTTGGTGCTCCGCTGACCTGCCTTCCTGCCCCGTCTGGCCGTCTCCAGTCCAGGCAGATTGATGCGCAAGCAAAGCTGCTTCTAGAAGAGTCAGCTTCAGTGCTCGGGTTTCCCGTATGCCCTGCTCGTTTTGCTCAAATTTAGCTTAAGCTGATTTATTGTGAGAGAAAAACACTGTTCGTTCACTAAAAAGTACCGCTAAATTACTAGATGCATTCCATTTATTGGATAGGGGCACAACCGTACATAACCTTTTTTTTCTCAGCTTGCAGACTAGCAATTTATTGTTCCAGTATTTTACCTCTCTCCGCAAAAAAAAAATGTAAATCTCGTTTTAATTGGAATTTTGATCGAGTTTATAGGAGATATTAATCTACATTTGATCTTCAATTTGGTTTATTATGAAAATATATTTTATGATTAATCTAATGATGCTTATTACGCATTATAAACATCATTCACCCTGTTCGTTTGAACTTATTAGCCTGATTTATCAGCTATGGTACAATATTTTTCTCTGACAACAAAACAACTCCAGCCGACTTATCACTCACAGAAACCATCCGCCGAAACAGGATGAAAATTAAGAATCGTCGACTCCTCGGAAAGCAAGATTTATACGGAGTAAGTAAGGCAAGTTGCTCCAGTGTTATATCTTCAATTTTATGATTTTCTCTTGTAGTTCAAGACATAATAATGTTCCACTATGATCTTTAGGGCCATTGTATTCATACGGTCGGCGGAAAACTTTGGTCCTCAAACAAAATGGGAGCGAATCGTTTAATCACTCTCGTCGCGTTTTCAACACCGCTTTTGTCACCAATTATCTTCATGTGTCATTTGCGTTCAGTTTCCATCCGTATCCACTCCTCGAGGCCTTCTCTTGCCCACCACCGTAAATGCAAAATGCCCAAATGGCACCGGCCGCGGTTGTCCCTGGGCCCATGTGCGTGCTACCGGGCACCGCCTACGGCTACGGGGAAAGCAAACGTGGCAAGTACGGAGTAAGCACCGCCCACGGAGGCACAAAAGAACGCCGACCGACGAAGTAAGCGCCTGCCACCTGCGTGTGCGCCTACCATTTGCGGGTGCTGCCCATCCGGTCCAGGTGCATGCACATTTCCCTCCTCCCCACATCACAATCACCACCCGCCTCTACAACCGCGCCTCCCCCACTCTCTTTCCTTTCCCCGCAGCAAGCCCAGCGGCACGGCGCACGCTCGAGTCATCTTCTTCATGCCCAATACGGCGAGCGGCGGCGCCCCGACCAGGTTGACCCCGCCTCGGCACCGGCCAGCGGGTCGTACAGCGAGCCGATCCAGTTCCTCCGGTGAGTTCTACTGCTTGTTTCTTTAGAGCTTCGGTTCTCAACCTCGTGTTATATCGCGCTGCTCGGAAGTGGATTTGGGATTGAGTTAGTGAGCTTTGGTTTGTTCTGGTCGGCTGAGATGGGAGATGGCGGGAGCTGTGTTGCGATTCACTTCTCTCTTTATTGTTTCCGGTTAGCCTACATAGAACCAGACAGAGCAGGGGTACGCCTGAAATTGAACTTGATACTAAATTGCCCGTAACACTGAGCGCGATTAGCACACCCAGCTACATAGAAATCGATTTCCTGTACTGTTCAGTGTTCACTCCCAGCAACGCCTCTACATTTCTTTACCTTTTTTTTTTTGAACGGATCTCGGCATTCCATTTCACCATTTTCGTTGAAATGCGGGAAGACGCGCTGGTGTACACTAGGTTTGGATTGGGCCATTGGGGAGAGGAGAGACAGCAGCTCCTGGACGTGCAAATGTGCCTGTGTTTCAAACGTAGGAATATATTCAGTTGCCATTCCTTACCAATTCGTAACTATCTTCTGCAACCTATTGTATTCAAGAGACCCCTTAATATGTTAAGACAAATAAAAACTACATTAACAAATGTCCAAAGTCTGTAAATCTTTTACCAATATATGGTGCTGACAAGAACGTAATGATAGCTTTACAATTTGTGCATGGGTGCCTCCTCAGATATAGCAAAATTAACGCCTGCTCCAACTGTACCCAAAATACAAATGGGGGACATGCTAATTTATTTTTAGGTGGCTTGTGTTGGGAGAAGTGAGCAGCAACTATACTTGAGAAGAGTTTATATTAGTGGTAAAGATATTGATATGGTTCAGGACCCATTGTTTGTACTTTTATGTCCACATTCGATGTATTACATAGTGACATTGCCGTATGAAATTGTAAAGGTAGTGTACTAAACTAGGTGCACCTTTTTAATTCTTCACCAGTTGTTTTAATCATGAAGTTTGAGAACCTAACCCGATAGCTCCTTCTTTTCAGTAAACGTTGATAAACTGCGAGATTGAAGCTAGAAGCTGTTTTAGTTTCTTCAAGTACAAGGAACATTAATATCACCTAAAGCACTTTCGTCAATGGAGCTTGAAGCTGATTTTGCTGATGAAGATTTCAGTTCAAATAATGGATTACAAGATCTGTGGTCACTTGGCGAGATAGATCCAAAGAGAGCAAGGTTCCCATGCTGCATTGTCTGGACTCCTCTTCCTGTAGTTTCATGGCTTGCTCCTTACATAGGGCATGTTGGAATCTGTCAGGGGGATGGGGCTATCTTGGACTTTGCTGGTTCAAATTTGGTGAGCATGGATAATTTTGCTTATGGTTCAGTTGCCAGATACCTCCAGCTTGACAGAAAGAAGGTTAGGATGATTCAAAATAATTTCATTTTCTGGACTATGCAATTCAACATAGATGCTCATCTTGTACTTTAGTTTATCTAAATCACTACTAAGGTGTCAACAGGTTTAGGGTCCATACTCCATAGAACTTAAAATAAATCCAGATGTTACTTTCCAAGTGTAGAAAGCCTAATAATCCTATAGTCCTGAGTAGCATGCTTGCCTGCCAACATATCACAGTCATAGTATTTTTGTTTTATCTGGTAATTTCAGTTTCCATTGTCACCAATTTCTGAATTTATTTCTGGGCTACATGAAGTCAGCGCACCTTTGTTCTCATTTAATTTCAATACATGATCCGTAAACAGTTGATATTTTCGAATATTATTCCTTATTTTAGTATCTTTTCAGCAGTAAAGTATTTCATAACTGGTACTTGTAAAACGCTGAGCCCATAAATGTGATGTTTCATTTGATACATGATCTGGAAACTGGTCCTGTGATTGTTCTAGCTAGTAGCTGGCTATCACAGGAAAAGCAGGACCAGAACAGAGCCAAACAGATTAGTTCACCAATATTTGAAGTCTTGATCAATTTTTGTTTTTTGTTTTCTTAGTAGCCTGTATTCCATATATTCTTGTTCTTGGGAACTTTTAGGTTTCCTATTTCAGTAGAGGTGTTCCTGTTTTAATATATATGACACTTTAAAGTTTAGGGTTAAGTCCAATTTACACCCTCCAACTTGCAGCAAAGTTCGGATTTCAACCTCGAACTTCAAAACCGGACAACTTTGGCCCTTCAACTCTTGAAAAAGTTCAACTTTCAACCTTGTGAGCGGTTTTGCGGGTGAACAGTAACTTTTATATTTTCGGGAGACGCCGAAATTTTATATTATTTTTTCGAGCATCTTAACGTCCTCAAATGAAAAAACTCAAAACTACAAAGTTGTAGATCTCAACGAGGTCTACAATTTACATATAAAAATTATCTTCATCCGACATCGGATTGAAGGGTTTTCTATTTTTTGAAATTTGAGTCTCATCACGCGATAAAATATGGTGCTGAAATTTTATATTATTTTTTCGAGCATCTTACTGTCCTCAAAAGAAAAAACTCAAAACTACAAAGTTGTAGATCTCATCGAGGTCTACAATTTAGATATAAAAATTATCTTCATCCGACATCGTATTGAAGGGTTTTCTATTTTTTAAAATTTGAGTCTCATCACGTGACAATTTTGTTCACCCGCAAAATCGCCACAAGGTCGAAAGTTGAACTTTTTCAAGAGTTGGAGGACCAAAGTTGTCCAGTTTTGAAGTTCGAGGTTGAAATCCGAACTTTGCTGCAAGTTGGAGGGTGTAAATTGGACTTAACCC